ATAAGAAGAATCTATGAATATTCAGCTTTCCGTTTACTGGGGAATGAACAACAAGATATTTCCTTGGTGAACAGCCGAATTGGCAATTTAAAGCCAATGAAGTCGCTAGAGGTAAAAATTTTTTTTTTTTTTTAAGGCCAGGGCCTTCAGACCTCTGACAATGGTGGCGGAAGGCTATACCAAAGCTTCACATTTTTGCGGGCATAATACCTAGACAGGATTGTTCATTCATATTGAAATTAAGTGTTTTGATGGTGATTTTTTTTCATCCAATTGCAATTTATATATTTTATATGAGAAGAATCTATGAATATTCTGCTTTCCGTTTACTGGGGGGAAATGAACAACAAGATATTTCATTGGTGAGCAGCCAAAATGGCAATTTAAAGGAAGTCACTAAAAAGAGATTAAAATGCAGAAGGGAATACAAAAATCCGACAAGTATTTGCCAGATACGACTGTGGAAAGACAAAAAATGACCGAAAAACAGAATGTCAGCACCTTTGCTAGGCTATTCTCGCTCTTGAGCGATAATGTTGCAAGAAGAACCATTTTGTATTTTTTGGAGCTTTTTTGATTTGTCAATATGTATGGCAGATAATTTTACGTTATTTTCTCAGGTCGAGGTGATTTCAATTTATTTGACAATAGACTGATATTATTTCCACTCACAATAGTGTAGTCACAATATTACTAATACAAAAGTGAAAGTTAAAAAGGGGAGAAAAGCAAAAATCTCTTGATTGATTTTAAAAGACGTATACTTGCAAAAAGACTAAATTAATCACTGTTTGAATAACGTGTTGTTAATAATAATAATGATAATAATAGGCCTTATAATAATATAATATGCCTATTAAAAATAATAATAATAATAATAATAATAATAATAGGCCTTATAATAATATGCCTATTAATAACAATAATAATAATAATAATAAAGATTTGTAAAGTGCAAACATCTCCACCTAAATAGGTGCTGAGCAGTGTCAAACAAGTAGTAGAGAAAAAAACAAGATACATATCACAAGAAGAAAATGTAACAAGACATTTTATGACTTTACCTTCTCATTTTTTAAACACAAATATACCAATGTCTTTCGATATTTCCTTTTCTTTTCTTTCTCTTTCTTACACTTTCATTTTTTGTCATATGTTTCCTTATCTTTTTTCTATTCTTTCTTATGTTTCCTTTTCTTCTTTTTTTCCTTTCTCATGTTTCCTTTTGTTTCTGTTTCATTTTCTGTTTTAGTCTCTCCTTTTCTTTCTTATGCTTCCTTTCCATTCCATTTCTTTCTTATGTCTTTTTTCTTCTTCTTTTCCTTTTCTGTCTTACGATTTTCATTTCTTTTCCTTTCCCGCTTTAAATTTATTAGTACTAAGTATTAGTAGTAACTTCAAACAGAGCTTAGTAACATCAGGAAGTTTATGTCTTGGAATGGGTACCCTTTAAAAGTTAATAATGTACTAAGAAATTAAATAAACCTAAATGTATACATAGGCCTACTGATGATAACTTGATTAAGATTTGGGTTAGATTGCCTTATCTAGGAATACTAGATGAGTTCATTTTACGTAGATGTTTAAATAAGGTAAAGAAACACTTAATTAAAGAGGTAAAATTCATAACTTAATGGCAGTATAAAAATGTTTCTCATTTTATATCTACTAAGGATCAAACCCCTAAGGAGTACAGAAGTTCTGTTGTCTATCATTTTAAATGTCCAGGCTGCAATAGTGATTATATTGGTAAGACAGATAGGTGCTCAATAACTAGACTTAAAGAACACTCTTCACGATCTGATAGTGTTATATTTGCTCATGTTAAAAACTGTGAGGCATTCAAATATGTTTTAGGATTACAGGGTATACTTGAAAATGATAATGTCGTCTGTAATGTAAGTAATAAATTAGGTTTAATATTTTCTAGTACTAACATTATTGACAGCTCCCGAAACTGGTTTATCCTATTGTTTAAAGAAGCTTTCGCTTCTTTAAACAATAGGAATGGTTCCAGAGAGAGAGATCCTAGATTCTAATGGATTTTACTATTCCACCTATTCTCTGGAACCAAATTCCCACCATTATCCATTATGCTTCAACCCCTTTTCAGTTTCATCACTTCTTGATACTCACTTTTGTCCATATTTACCTGGTTTTAAGCACTATGATACACTGGTAAAGAGCGATGATGATGATGATGATGATGATGATGATGATGATAATGATGATGAAAATGATAATGACGATGATGTTGGCCGGATGTAAAATGCCTATAAATTCAATATGATTACAAACTATTTTAATTTTTACGAAGACTGACCAAACGATTAAAAAACGAACAACACTATGATAAAATAATACATACCCGGAGACCCCCTCTACCGAGGAGACCATAGAATCCTGCCAAACCTGGTTGGCCAGTACCGCCTTTTGGACCTGGTATGCCAGGGCTGCCTTGTTCTCCTTTTTCCCCCTGTAGTTACAAAATTAAGAATTATTTAGACCTTGATTATGTGTTGCATATATATATATATATATATATAACATTTATTTTCTTTAATTCTTTAAAAATGAATAATAATAGTAAGATAGGGTACAGATTCAATAAGCATAGGCCTATAGTAAATATAACAATTAAAATAAATATATATTACAAGTATAAGGATAGACCTAACAAAAAACAGCTAATCAATTTTTCATTTTAAATGATATTAAATAAGATGACAGATAAACATAGTATTTATTATATTTACGAATAATACAATATTTTGGTTGATTTATTCTTTTTTACTTTTAACCTTAAAGAATAACACAAGACATCTTATTTGAATAAAAACAGAAAGTGTATGGGTGTGGGTTTGTGTGTGCGCGCTGCCTGTGACACAATTTTAAGAAATAAAATATGAAACAATCTTTATAAAACCGTGCACAATGTTCTTTGAACACTGCCCATTGTGGCAAATGTGCACAGCACGTCGAAGTAGAACTTGGAATGCTGTTATTACATTCGGTTATGTATAGATATAGAAAAGTGTCATGAAAATGACGTATATTTCTCAAAAGGGACGAGAACAATAGCTGCAACGAGTAGATTTGTTTAGTGGTTTTACTATTAAACTTATGCAGCCAACATTAGTAAATATTATTTGTGTGCTGAATTTCTGGATAATTAAATTTATCAATCATATCGTTTTAGTTAATCATGTGATATTACTGTTTGAACACAGTTGCAATTCACTAGGCTTTTCCCAGCCGCTTGGTAGTATAACCAATCGTTAAAACCTAAATGCATAATTATAACAAGGTTGCTTGTTACATGTTTGCTAACGAAAAATAATGTTTGCTTGTATATGGAATAGAAAGGGGGTTGCTTCAACAGCTGATCATGGTAGTAAGAATGCATACAGATAATGTGAAAGATAACATCAAACACGAATTCTACGGTAGTAATTATCAGAAAACAATTTAAATTGGAGATAAAATGATCAAGATGATATAGTAGTATCTATATTTATAAATACGCTTATTACAAAAGCTATAGGCATAATGGTCTCATCAAGGGCCTCAAAAAATGTCTGGGGTTCGAAACCTACCGGTCTGGAAAACGGTAACAACATAGATCATCAAAGTCTCCATCTCACAAAATGAATATAAAACTCCTTATTTCAGCTTAATTGAGGGGAAAATTACTATAATGACTTTTACTGTCATTTTTTGCTGAGTATTTAGCTGTACAGTCCACATGACCTGTTTATATTTTGGTTTTATATGCAACGCCAAAAGAGCAACATTACACGTACGTACTTCCGCATACGGGTTATAAAATAACAAAAAAGGGGACAACTTTCAAACATAGTCACTTTTCAAGCACACTCAGAGTTCAGGCACATTTGGTTAACAAACAAAACCAATTTTCATCAAGAACTGTCAATTTTTTTGCTTATTTTAATAAAGTATTATATTTACACAGCTAAATTTAGAAAATTTCATTTAAAATTTGCTGGTGTTTTAAATTTTTTAAAAGAATACTTTTTTTTGGAAAAACATATTTATCAATCAAATTTTAAAATAACCTGCTTTAATGCTAGATGAAATACATTCACTCCAAAATTTATTAACTACAGTACATCCATCAGGTCTATTTGTTCAATCCAGCGCTTTTGTAAATAAGAGAGGAAAAGTTTTGGATCTAAAGTATAATTGAGTGTTTGATTAGAGAGACGCACATGACTGTCTTTTATTCAGTTTAAAGCACTCTAATGATGACCCAAGAAAGACATTTAGCTAATATTATGTCATTACCTTTTCTCCTGTAAAACCAGGTACACCATCTTCACCGGGTGGCCCAGAGTCACCCTAGAATAAATGTATACAACAGAATAATAATGATGATATGTAGCACATTCCACTATTGACTTTATAACAAAATCATGTACCTATTCGGACAAAATCTGCAAAAATATATTATTCGCAGTTTGAGGGTTTATATAATTAATATAGAAATAATAAACAATATTAGATTCATAATAATATAGTTATATATTATAATAATATAGAAATGGTAATATTAAATTAGGCGGAATGGTTTAAGTGTTAAGTGGACCCAGTAAGCATTTAGCGAGAATCCAAAGCTGGGGCCTATGTATTTTCAAATTTACCCAATAATACTGTTCTGGCCACACTTTGTTTACTCATTGTATACTATTATCCCTCATGAAGATGGTGTTAATTCATTAATTTCAAATTACCAACAAATTGGGGGCAAACTCCATCTAAATCTCATTTACGTAAACTTATTTTCTTGATTCTGACCAATATTAAGATTTGAACTTGAGCACGCCACGCCTCCCATCTTGGTTATTAATAATAATAATAATAATAATAATAATTATAATAACAATAAATTAT